CTGGTGGTGGACGGAGGGACCAGTGGCACCAGTGTTTGGGAGTCTTGCTTCTGTCAGTGCACCCCAGGGAAGCTGCAGCTACATTGTAGCTCATCGTCACCTATGTGTGAGTGTGTGTGAATGGGTGGATGACAAATTGTGTTGTAAAGCGCCTTGGGGGGTTATTGAAGCCTAAGTAGGTGCTATAGAAATACAGGCCATTTACCATTTATTGACACTAGAGACCACTGCAAATGTATTGATTAAACAAATGTCTCACACCTTTAAATAAATTTAACCAGGGATAAAAAAAAAATAAAGGACATTTTACACCATTATTAGTAAATAAAGAAAAACGAAGTTGAAATATACATGAAGTGTGCAAAAAAGGGGTTTATCCTGCTCCTGAAGCATGATTCTTTTCCGCCCATCTTCTGTAGATTTGCTGTTAAGCAAATTTATACTTTCATCCAGTCTTTAGCTTCCTGACATACAGTCTGGTATTTATTCTGAATTACTTTGCAAGACAGACAAGTTCAAGGTTGACTTAATGACTAAAGAGTATGAAGTCCTTGTTATAGCAAAAGAGAACACTCAAAGCATGAGGTGTCCACTGGTGTATGAGACAGATGGTGGAAGGCGTTAGAGCTGACTTGACCCCCCCCCCCCACCCCCCCCCCACCCCCTCCCCCTCACTCTCCCTCCCTCCCCTCCCTGGAATTTTGTGACAATGCATCTTAATCATGATTCCATTTATTCTTGGTTTACCCAAAATTTCTTTCGCCATTTGGTCACCAAGCTCTACTAAATCGGTTTCCCAATTCTTTGGAACCTTTGAACATTTGCAAAATTCAAGCAACATGAAGGCAAAGCCCTGTCATTGGAGAATGTTGTTCACACATTGTGGCTAGCAGTCAACGTGACTTATAACTGTGCTGTCATGTTCTGTTAAGAGAGCAGTGACATTTTTCAGGAAATCTTTTCAAAACGACACAATTGCTCCGTTATTCTGCACGTGGACAGATGTAAACATTAATATTTAACATGCTAAAAGGAATCTGAGATGAAGCAACTCTGTGATTTTTCCATTTTACCCATAAATAATTCTTCTCACTGTATTACGGCGACTCTAAATACTCTGTAAAAAGCCTTTTAATCCCTTTTCTGACAGAAGAGCATCAGCGGTTGCTTCCTATGGCTCAATGCTGACTGCGTTTTTTCCTTGCATGTTAATGCAAACTCGAGTCCTCCAAACCAGCAAGCTGAAAATAATCTTGTTTCCTGTTCTTGAGGTAGTCACACATGCTAATGATCGCTTTATCAGGAATATCTAAGCTTAATTTTCAGTCTAACAACTTTATCTAGATAATAGAGTTAATAAGCAACAAAATACAGGAAAGTAGATAGAAAAACAACATTTAACATTATAACAAAACCCATATCACTAAGCACCTTTTTAGAATGAGTGTATAGTAGCCTAATATGTCACAGCAATATGTACTTACTTGCTTTTGTTGGGCCCAGATTATATTTTATGACATTCTGATATATAAAACATTACAGCCAAAAAGGATATGTAATGTGTTTGTAGTATAAATGCATTTTTTTCTACAGAGCATCGCTGCATGCCATCGTTTTTTTCAGGTTTTATATTTGGCACAAGAATACTAGGTCAATCTACCCGGCAAACATTTGTACTTGTGGGTTGAGTGATCTCCCGGAAAAATCTGCACAAGCATGACACAGATTGGCCCGAGATCAGAGGTTGAGATTTACTATTTCATTTATACTTGGAAAGACATCGAGACAGAGACCTCAATACAACACGAGCGAAAAAATGACTACATGGGTACATGCTGTTGAACAAAAATCCAATTGGGTAATGCTGGGGGGAGGCTGGGCTGGGAGAGATAAACTCTAGAAGTGAAACAGACGAAACAGCAATGTGGAGAGCGTGGAGCAGAAAGAACGATTGAGTGTGTCTCTCTTTATAAAGTGTGCTAATTGGGTGGGACGGATTGAAGTCAAAGCCAAGGACAGGAACAGACTTGGATCACGCATGAACGAGCAGTGACTTGAGCTAAAACAAAACCCCATTAACTGTAAAATAAAATAAGTCGTTTATGCAAAAAAAAAAAAAAAACAAGTACTAAATTATATTTTGTTTCTTTGTACAGATTTATTCGATTTTGGCATCATATTTTTTAAATGATAAACATATTTGCACCCAGGAGTGGTATATTTAGTGGACAAACTCTTTTCCAGCTGAAGCTCAACCTACTTATGCAGCTATGCACAATAACACCTGGGAGCTATAATTAAATGGCAATGGGTTGCAGCTCGACATCTTAGTACCTTATTTACTTTACTCAGAAGAGTTTACTTTATGTTATTCATTGTCGTCTAGCACAGCAGAAGACGTGACCCTGCTCCACAACCCTAATGACATCCCAAAAAGAACGCCTTGGAGGTGACTGCACAAAAATGCAAAGCATGACAGACACAACAGCCAGGGTGATTTTTGGTCAATGTAACAGTTCAAAGGTCAAGTTTTCATCAACATGAACAGAAATTAACTTGTAATTTGCAGCCACAAACTGCGTCACACATCCAGGGATGCTTTACAGCTGTCTGGCCTCCAAACCAGAGAGCTCTGCACCAGTCCTTGTTACCAGTCAAAAGAGACATAACGTCTTCAGTCAAGGTCACATGCAGAAGTGAGACTCCTGCATTTTTCACTCTGAATAAAGTTCACCTTCCTTTAAGTTCCTAAGTGACTTTACAACTAATAGGTTGCAGTGATCAAGCGTGTTGAATGAACAAGATGTTTAAATCAAATGTTTGAATAATCTGTGCTTTAATCAATGATGAGTTTAAAATGAATATTGTTCCTTCAATGATCCAGCTCAGATCTTAACTACACCAGATCAGTGTGTGTTAACAAGTTAATCTATCCGTATACTCATACACGTTATAATGAGATTATTATTAATGTTTAACATCCACTTCACACAAGTGTGTAAACATTCTCATTCACACAAAGAGCACATCTTTGTATCTGAAGGAAGGAGTAACCACTGAGGTATTTTTGGTAATGCCCTCAAATGTGTTTCTAGCTGACTCCCGATCTGGCCAAATCAGTAAAAAAGCATTTTGAAACCATCCTCTCTTTTGACATCAAGTCAAAGCCTCTCTGTAACGCTTGCGAAGGATTACAGACAACGGCTCTTCTAAGAGCCATCGAACAGCCTTAGATGCAAACCAAGCAATTCAGCTTCCTGTCGTGACCTGGAGATATCTCAAGACTAGACGGGTCCTATCGGAGCTAAGCTATTATAATCTCGTGACCCCCTGGATCTGAATGGGAATCTTCATACAAGGGTGCGTACTCGACACAAATTGCGTCGGATGGTTTGATAAACAAATCTATAGTTTACAAAACATACAGCCAATGTGATTTTACGACCCAGACTTCACAAACTCTCTCAGATACTTATGTTACAACCCCTGCTAATGGAAGAAAACAAGAACCCATCCTCTTAGAGGACTGCTGTGCCAGTGCAACCAGCTGATTGGCTGCTTCAGATGTTTCTGCCGACGCCCTTCTGCTTTATTATTGGTGTGGCTGTGAGCAGCCTGGATTTTATGAGTGGCTGCACCTGTGCAGCCAAAAAGGCTGCTAAGTGCAAGTTGGAGGGACTCAGGAGGATCAGGAGTTGAGGCTGATCAGAGGGAGCACCTTTGGTAGCTCTTGGCTGTGTGGCATGTTTTGGCGAGGCCTTTTAGAGGCTTGGTTTTAATAAAAAAATATACTCAAACATTAACCTTGTGTCCTGACCTCCTCCTTTTGTTGCAGTCCCACGAGCTGGGCTGTAACAAATGGGGGCTCGTCCAGGATAATCTGGACTTTTTGGAGGAGGATGGACCTGGTGTTTTAATTGAGCATAACATTTTACATCCTGGCATGTGCTAGTCTCTTAGCAGTTTGTGAAAATGACTTGTGGTGAGCCAATTTATTTGTTTTTCACCTTCAGGAGCTCTACGCTCTAGGTGCTGCTGGTGAATTCACAATAGTGGAATGCAAGCTTCTTGGCTTTTGTTTGATGTGGTTTGTCAATACTTTGAGCTGCCTTTCCTTATTATTATTATTATTTTTTTGACTGGTCACTTGTATATGTTGCTGGCTAGATATACTCTTAAACATTAACCTTGTGTCCTGACATCCTCCTTTTGTTGCAGTCCCACGAGCCGGGCTGTAACACGTAAGAAAGGTTTTTCTAAAACATCTAGCTTCCATTCCATCATTTCATTCAAACCTTGTCATGTATAATAATTAGTTTAGGGAGATAGAAATAAATTCATTTTTATAAACTATATACTTGACTCTGTCTGAATTAATAGGAAGTGTGTATGTTCCCTGATAAATACAATAAACTAAAATCTTAAGATTAAATATTCAAAGATCAATCAGATTGATATTTCATATTTAGATGGAATTATCACATCGTGTTGATTATTTGTTACATATGTAGCCAATCCTTAACGCTACATCAATAATAGTACAACATACATTTCATCAACCACAGCTCATAAAATACAGCTTATTTGAGTATGGGAGCTCAAGCATGAATCTATCGGGAGTCTGAGTCGTCATTCCCAATGCTGTACCAGCAGCAGTAAATCTCCATGACACAGCAGATTAGATTGCCAGTTCTCAAAGGTTGTATTCATAACTCTTTCCAAAAACAAAAGCCTGAAAATTTCTTTGAATGTTGTACAAAATGTATAGATAAGTACAAAACTGTGGGCTGTAGTTTTTCCTATCAACACACATATTAAAGTCTTCTTTGTGTTTAAAGAAAAAAAAAATGCTGGAATGATGTTGATGACTAATAAAGTAAATAAAGATAAATGGAACAGCACCCATATGATGATTTTACGTGGACACAATGTTCCCTAGTTGAGGTATGCTCAAACTGGGCAAGAATTTCATTCATTTTGTGAAAAATCCTGCATTTCACCTGAGTCACAAGGCTGGAGTTTTCTATTACTGTGACTGAGTTCCCACAGCTCGCCCAAACAGACTCGTCCAACAGCAGCAACGTCCGAATGGGCTCTGATCCCAGGCTTACACATCTGCAGGAAGCTGGATCCCAGAGATCATCTGTAAAAAAAATGAAAGAAAACCAGGGTCATTTTAAACTGTGATCTTTCAGGATGCTGCTTTTTGGTGTATAATTTTAAATCAGGGTCATAAGAAAGAATTGAGTTTTATAGCCTGACGAGCCATCCTATCTGTGTAAATATAGACTAGCTACAACTCGTTGAACTTGGTTGTAGGGCGGGATTCAATTCAATTCGAGTTTATTTATAAAGCGCCAAATCACAACAAGAGTCGTCTCAAGGCACTTCACATAGTAAACATTCCAATACAGGCCAGTTTATTAAGCCAAAAAAAGTTTCCTATACAAGGAACCCAGCAGGTTGCATCAAGTCACTGACTAGTGTCAGAGTCTTTACAGCAATCCTTATACTAAGCAAGCATGCAGCGACTGTGGAGAGGAAAACTCCCTTTTAACAGGAAGAAACCTCCAGAGGATCCTGGCTCAGTATAAGCAGCCATCTATGGTCTGTCAAACTTTCTCTGCACGCAACTTGTCAGCAGTAGGACCACTCAGAGCAACAAACGATGCAACATATTTATTGCTACGAAAGTCAATCAGTGGAGCGTCCGCCATACACCGAAGGGGGGGGGGGGGGGGGGGGGGGGGGGGCAATGCAGAGGAAAAAAAACCCATCCTTTTTGAAACGCCATCTTTGTAGTTTTTTTCCATCGCAGCTCTTGTGTAGAGCTAAATCTTTTGCTACTGCTATGGTTGGTCTAGATTTGTAGGACAGAAGTTTTAGCCACTTTGATCTCATGCAAGCCAGGTTTCAATCAAATCTTTTCCATGACTCCTGGTGTTTTTCCAACAATCCCAAAATTAATAGCCAAGTTTTAAATGAAAACCTTGCATAACCAGATCTAAAACATCTGGACAATCGACCACTGTCAGAACTTATGAGTCATTTTACCAGAGCTAGTGTGTGTCTCCATTTCACCGGGCCATTTGAAAAGGGCCATTTCAGGAACCAACGTAAGTGCCTGAACTAGGGAAAGTACTCAGAAGTGGCCGGTCATGACCTTGTATGTATTTTTTACTAAAGCCATCGCATTGACTGATGAAATAAGAATCTGTGTCTCCTACCAACACCACCGTAAGTTAACTTCACTTTTATCGTTTGGCTTTAATGTCTTTATATTCAGTTTCAGCCCTTGTTAACCCTTTTTAATTGACATTATGCACCTTGGGCTCCTGCAAAGGCAGTGGAAGGTGCTATATAAATAAAATTTGATTGATGATTAATCATTTTAATTTAAAAATGGCAGCATTGTATAAAAGAATCAGTAGAATCTTTTATTTTCGTAAACCAAAAAAAAGTAACCAAATATGAGCTAGTGTGTGGATAAAAACTGTGAATTTATTATTTTTTGTTATGGTAAATCAGCACACATCGTGCAGCAGAGTGTTTACAGCCTCACCACCTACATGCTAATAAGCCTGTAGTAGATTTTAATACACCTCCCCCCCGTTAATCACCAGTTCCTTCCCTTGTTTGAAAATAACCCGGCTCCCAATCTCTCATCGGATCCTTTTCCTTCATCAACGTGAAAATGAAACAGACCTTCTCCTTTAAAGTCTAATCATGGGGGCACACATTGCTGGCATCACAAAAGCACATTTTAAAAAGAATCTCATGGCCATTTCTTTTTGAGACGCATTAATGAAACTAAATGAGAGAGGGGCTGCATTCAGCCATTTAATTAACATTTTGGTTTGTTTATTTCTGCCTTTCATAGAAGAATAGCATTACAGTACCGTCTGACTTCTGCAGGTTAATTGTTTGGCATGTTCTAAAGGTCATTTCCCCACCTTTTCAAAACTCACTCTTGTAAATGTCTCTTTGTTCCTTCATGCTAAGCCAGGCCATGACTGTGTTTCTACCTTTTTAGGACCGATGTGTCACTGGGAGACATATTTCTCTGCCACATGTTGAATATTTTTACTGCAAACTGACATTGCACCTGTCTCAGTGAGGAAAGTTGTAGCTAAACTATTGCAAAAACCAAAAGAAAAAGATCCGTGTTTAATTTCCTTATTTTTGACACAAGTCTCAGGTAAATCCCCCGTGTTTTCTAGTTGCTGCGGACTTATTTTTCAGGCAGTCCCACGCTCAACAAGGACATGAATCTTTAACAGATGTGCCAAATCCACAAACATTCCCTGACACTCTCGAGGTACTCTGTCTTTTTTAAATATATATCTATAAAGGATGAATAATAATATTTAATCAGCATGCACCAGCTTGGTGTGATTAATCATTCTCTCTGCTTGGGTGGAGAGGGGGGGGGGGGGGGGGGGCACAGGAGGCAGGCAGGCACGGTGACATACTTTGGCCAGGTAAAAGGAACCCATTGATAGAGCTATTGTGCTCCCACTGGCTGTGAAGACAGCAAACCTCTGCTGAGATGGTGTTAAGCTCCATTGGCCTTGTGCAATGCCTGACTAAACATGGCATGCCATCTACCACACGGTGAACCCGTTATGTTCTTATTTACAGCAGGTGTGGAAAAGCCTGTGGAAAAAAGAAGAAACGTGTAATGATGGAAGCAAATCTAAAGCAGCTGCTGTGGCATTCAGACCACAAAGCTGTTTTTCTGAAAACAAGCAATCAAGAAAAACAAAATGTATCATGGATGGCATTAACATGTCGCCTTAGTAAGTTGAATGAAAACAACATAAGGAAACAATGCAGTGATGAACAATATTTATTAAAGGTGTGGTTGACTGAAAAAATATATTTTTATTATTATTTTTGATTATAATCTGTCACTGAGATTTTCATGCAGCCCGAACATGAGAATAGAAAAGATAAATTGGAAGGTTGCAGGTTCGAGCCCCGTTCAGTCTGTCGCTGTCATTGTGTCCTTGGGCAAGGCACTTAACCCACCTCGCCTGCTGGTGGTGGTCGGAGGGACCGGTGGCGCCAGTGTTTGGCAGCCTCGCCTCTGTCAGTGCTCCTCAGGGCAGCTGTAGCTCGTCCCCACCAGGGTGTGAATGTGTGTGTGGCTGGGTGAATGAGTGATTGTGTTGTAAAGTGCCTTGGGGGGTTCCAGGACCATAAAGTGCTACATCAAAAAGAGGCCATTTACCATTTTACCATAGTCTCCTACACCTATCTCCTGGATTAGATTCTGATAGAAAACAAACAGCGAAACTCGAGGGTTAGAAAATCCTGACAGATCTACGTCCCACTGTGACTTATTCAAGTACTCACTTGCCCATCTGGACTCACGGCAGGGAAGGCTGTTGTTAGTTTAGCGTGCAGGAAACAGCAGAAAATGTCTCGACTAGTAGAAGCAAGAACGACTGAAACTTTGCCAGAGCGGTTCTGGCCCATGCTGTACCCCCCCCCCCCCCCCCCCCCCCTTTAGAACCGCCCCTTCAGGCCAAGTAGAAATCTGTTTAAACTGTTCAACATGTATTGGTTTGATTTGTTCGCAATACTTTATTATTAAAAAGAGCTAAGACAATTTTATCAGTAAATAAATACAGCTTTTATAAAACATTACTAGTTTTGCATTTATCTATTACTGCTTTGTTTTTTGAACCTGTTTCCTGGTTTTGTCGTCTGCAACAAACAAACATAAATAAAGATATAAACCGGATGACAGTGACACTTTTCCTTCCTCCCCCTGTGGATTACACACCATAGAGATGGAACAACCCCCTCAGACCATCGCTAAACCAAAACCGTGAGTCTAAAAAAACCTCACCGCTGTTTGCTCTTCCATAAACCGTCACCGTCCCGTTCTGCAAGCCAGCAAACAGGAAGCGAGAGGAGTGCTTCAGGCAGAGCACGGGGCAGCCCTCTGGGCTGTGGAGGGTCAGCAGGCATTGTGCTGCTGAGTCCACGCTACCGTAGACCAGGATCCTGAAAGAACAACAGCAGCACAAGCAAATGTGATAAATGAGCATCATTGGAGATGACAGAGTGCCTCGTTTTCATGCAGTCTGATTTAACGGCGCACGAAGCATTGCATATGTGGAGCCACTCTGTCTTTTTGCATGTTTGAAATGCCATCTGAACTTTGCTGCATCGAATCGTCTTCTTCTGAATGACAAATGCATATCGGTGTTTGTTTCTCTGCAAAGAGAAAATGTTCAGCTGCATTGGAGCTGACAGGCTGAGGCTTTTGACTGTTCCAAAGTGCTGAACCCTTTTTTTTTTCGCTTTCCCTCTCTCTCTTTTTATCTTCTGGTGTGCATTTTATTCTTTTTCCCAAGATAGACACTTTTATGGAGAGAAGATGTGTCAGCATGCAAAAACTCACAAACCTTTGATTTAGGCTACTCCTAAAATAACTAGAGTTAATTAAAACTGCATAAAATTGTAACATAATTGGTAAATCTGCTATCCGAGTGCACCCAGGAAAACAAAGCAATCTATTTACTCTATGACATGAGGCTGAGATTAAATCTCTCCTCTGAACCTTTTGATCCCCATTGTGGGGGAATGAAAAGGTTTATTGGATTTAAAAACGAAACTGATCTCAGCAGCAGAGGTATTGATGCTTTGCCGTGAAATCAACTCTGACTTCTTGTTTTGATGAAATATTGACAAGCAAATATGTACAGCCGGAAATCTCAGAGGAGCACGACGAAGGATAATATCAGGTGTTATTTTACAACAGAAGATACAGATTATACTGGAAGTGGTTTCTTCTTGTCTTTTAAAGGTAAGTCACTCACCGTCCATCATCTAATCCAACACAAATGCTGGTACCAATCCCTGTGGCAGTCTTGTGAATGCCGGACTCATCCTCTTCGGATGGAGAAGGTGCCGGAACATATTCCAGACATCGGACAGCTGAGCCTACCTGCAGGCTCTTCACATACCTTGGTGTTGGTCTATTGAGGGAAAATATCTCTATGTGGCCTTGAGGTCCTTCTCCTCCACCAGCCACCTGCAGGGAAAAGGGAAAACAAGGGATACCCACGTTCAGCTGCGCCAATGGACTGAATCCTGATGACACGAATAGAAGGGAACAGGAAAGGCAGCAAGCAAACCCAAGTTACTCTTCTTCCAATCATCTGAAAATGATGTTTTCACTGTCTTAATCAAACTGTAAAGGTTAAAGGATAATGTGTCTTCTGTTGAACATGTCCTGTGTCAGCATCCAAGGTTTAAAGAAATATCTGGGTCACTGATCCTATCAGGCCTTGTCTTTTGTTATCCATAATCTTCTTTTAGTCTCACTTTTAAAACACATTATGTAATGGTTCCACAATGTCATCTCTTGAAGATCAAACAGTTTTTAAATGTCTGTGCTCTTTTCATCGCTGAAGAACAGAGGGTGTCTGAAAGGCTTCGGAGCTGCCAGACAATAAGGTTTTCCCAACCCTTTCAAGATCCAGAGATCTATTGCTGCAGTCAGGTTGTGATTAAATCCAAATGAAATCATTTTCAATTAGTTCAACTGACTTCTGAAATGAACGTGTCCAAGGTCACAGTGAACACTTCGAGACCCTCAACTCAGAACTAATGAAGGCGTAGAGAAGAAAATTAAAAGAGAGTTGTTGACGGCAGGGATTGTTCGGTGGCTCTGTCTGAAAAAGGCTTCTGCCAATCAATGTCTTAAAATGCCTTTGCCTTTTTTCAAGAGGCAATAATCGGTGAAAAATCTTCCTGCTAAGGAAGAAAGCAACCTTAGATGTTCACAAATAAATGATCAAGCGATCATAGGAATCCCAAGGCAATTCACAGCCCACAGGTCCTTGATCTCCCTCTGGGATTAATAAAGTATCTTTGTTTGATTGATGATTGATTGATAAAGGCTGGACTTCCTCTAAACCACAGACATGTGGAAGAAAGCTGTGGTGCACTTTGCGTGGGCCAATCAATGCCAGTGCTGAGACAAATAAGAAAGCTGGAGCCATCCAAGCTATTGCTGAGGAACTTCCAATCAAGTTGGCATTGGTTTCATTCGCAAACAGTTAAAATGGCAGTGTGTCATTTCCTGGCATTAGGGGTTGGTACATTCATTTCAGGGTAGTTTTACACCACATCGCCGTGACTGTCGCTAGTTTAAAGAGCGTTACGGTAAACGTTGTTACCTGTGGAGCAGAAGGCATGCAACCTTGGCATGACTCCTCAGATGTTGATGGTCCTTCAGTTAATTCCATAGAGAGAATGCAATGTCGATTGTAGTTTCTGGATCAGCTCAGGGTCCTGCGCCTCCCGATGATGTCATCATACTACGGCAAACCCACTGGGCGAAAATCTATTGCATCTCTTTTCGATTCTGTTCTTTCATGTAGGTGAATGAGTGTAGCAGTTTTGCTGATTAATGCTTTCAAACGTGGTACCATTGTAAAGGTGTACATCCAGCCAATCATCTAATGTGATGTCATCGAAAGGCGCAGGACCCTGAGACGGCTAGAAGGGAACATGGCATCTAATATGGCGTCCCCCAAAGATGCTAGACCCACATCCTATGTACTTTAGACCTGATTGTTATGGTTATATTTCACAAAGCTGATGGCTGGACATCATTTTATTCTTTTTCAACAGCATTTCCAGAGATTACAGGTAAAACCACACACTGCCACCTTAATGCACCGCTGTGGCATTTCCATATGATTTAAATTATTATGCCTACAGGAGACCTGTGTGAATATTCAAATAAAATGTCTTTCTTGGGTAAAAAACAGGAGCGGGAGCACAACTGCCTGCTGCAAAGACAGCAAATATATTTCCTCTGAATGAATCACATCCTGCGAATGTGAGATGAGCTAAATATAGTCTTTAGCTTCTCTCCTCAACACTCACCCTTATTTGCATGCAATCATTTGTTTGATTTGTATCAGCACACAAAATCTGGACAGAAGCAATCCTTTGGGCTCTCAAGAATGAGCCAGAGCAAATAATGGTCCGTTGCACATGGTGAAAAGAAGATAGGGAACACTTATCTAGCAGCAAGAGGGCCTACAAAAAAAAAGCACAGCTTCAAGTGGCAGATGTACAAGAGCCAGAGGCAGGGCCCATTTACCCAGGGTCCTTCACAATGATCATTATCCCTGACAACAAAACTCCCAACTTGTACATATCTACTGAAAACACGGTGTCCAGACAGAGTTACATATATTCACTTGCAGGAACCATATCCAAGGTTGTGCCCCGCAAAGATTATTTGCTTCAGAGAATCAGAAACCTTGCCAGCCAGGTAAGACAGGTGGGCCCCATATGGAAGGGTAAGCAGTATGGGTCCCAACATGTTTGCACTGCTGATTACACAGTGGCCCCACAGGAGTTTGCCCACATAGGTTTTAACGTGCTCTGCATAGGTTTTTAGAGGGGCCTAGGTGGTTTGTCTCATACATGAGCCCATCAAAATCGTTGTAGGCACACCCCTGTGGTGCCACCATGGAAACAGCAAACAAAAACAACTGGAACCCACACTGTTTGTTTACATGTATTCCATACAAAGCCCACCATTGTGTGCTGAATGGATCCTAATCTGTGAAATCTACAATAGCAAATCTGCAAAATGAGCTAGCTTAAACATTTTAATGCTTCAATGTTCTAACATATTTTAGCTGTAAATATTTTGTTTTGGTACAAAAAATAAAGTGGTTTGTGTGTTTTTGCTCTGTCTTCTCAAACCCCCAGTGAGTCGTGGTGGATGGCTGCTGATACTGAGCCAGGTTCTGTTGGAGGTTTCACCCTGTTAAAGGGGAGTTTTCCTCTCCACTGTTACTACATGCTTGCTTAGTATGGGGATTGCTGTAAAGTCTCTGACAACAAGTCACTGACTAGATGCAACCTGCTGGGTTTTCTTTCATGGGAGACTTTTAACTGGCAGAAAGATGCACTGATTCAATTAGGTTCAATTGGAATGTTTATTTTGCGAAGGGCCTTGAGAAGACTCTTGTGATTTGGCACATATAAATAGACTGAATTGAATTGAATTATCTCGCATTTGTCTAAAACCCTCAAGCAATAGCATGGCTTGGTCCGAAAGCAATGATTGGACCATCCGGTTGTCGGTCTCGCTGAACCACCACACCTCTACATTTCCCTGTGTCCTCCATTTATTACACGCTTGTGTAATTAGCAACAGAACACCACTAGTGTGGGATGTTCTCCACTCAATCATATCAGAGGAGAAACAGCTGGCAGCTACAACTTCAACTTTAGGACAAACATCCAGAGTCCTAAAAAGAAAAACACCATTGGAAGTCATGGACGACAAAAGACATTTGGACCTAGAAGACTGCAACTGGTGTTTAGCACGCTCCCATATCATGGGGCGTGGCCTATGATAGCCGACAGGAGTGGTGAGAGTTTTGTCATCGTGTTTGTGTTTGGAAGTTAGCTTGTTTTGCAGCTTTGCCATTGCAGCTTTAATACTCTGGCAGATTGAGTTTGATTTCTCTGCATGCAGAGAAGAAGATTTGCAACACGGTCACGTTAGCTCACTCTGCTCATTTATGTTCACTACATTTAAAATCTGAAAACAATGAGTCACCATTTACCCTGAAATGGATGTGCTCTCTGTTTTTCATCATACATGCTCGTGATGAATGCTTACTTGCAAATACAAAAGGGAGATAAGATAAGAAGCACAAAGGAACGACAAAAAGGCAGGGGTTTAAAAATTATTCAGAAAAGGGAGGTTTGGAAAAGTGGGACAAGGAAGGTGGAGGAAACCAGGGAAACAGTGCGGTATCAGGCTGATTAGACACAATGTCATTACTCTGATCAAAGCGTGCAGAAATCCCTATAGCCCATCGCACTTTAACATGATTAGTGTCATTTCTTATTTGACAAGCCTGCCAGGGAGGTAGAACCATCTGGAGGCAGAAACACTTAACCGCTAATTATTCAAACTGGAACCACAGGCCTTCACAATTATTATGATTATAATTATTATAATTATTGTTATTATTAATACTGTATTTTATTTTTGAGGTAAGCACTTTGTTTTTTTTACCTGGTTATGTATTCAGCGGTATATAGTGTGTCACCAATAGAAAAAGGTCAGGTGTTTTTAGCACCAGAGAGCTGCTCATATTGTTCGCATGGTTGATTTTGAGTACTTCAGTTAGCAGAAATGCACTGCGTAGTAAATTCACTCTGGAGATTTTAGTTTTAACAACAAATACCTCCAAGATGATTTTTTTAAGACTTTCCTATAAAAAGCCTTCATCGTAAAGGAGTTACAGCCCTTGGATCTATGCAGGCAGAGATCTACAGATTACTGAACAGCAAAAAGTTTCAGCTTATTTTAGTGAAATTAGGTCTTTTGTTCCTCCAAATGCAATTTCTACCAAATCCAGAAATGCATTTGTAGTGTTGGATTAAGAACAGGTTCAATTCAAACACAAACAAAAATCTTTTTTTTGAAAGTTTCACTTTTGGTTGTACAACAGTGAATTAATAATGGACACTAGGGGGTGCTAAAAGCAAGCCAAAACAGGATTATTTCCCTTGAAGTCTTTAAAATGTGACCAAAATCTCATTTTTGATGTTTTACACTTTATTTTGACACTTTTGTAAAAAAATAAAAATAAAAAAAACACTAAAAGAAAAAAAAAGAAAGACCATAAATATATTCTGCCTTTCCCAGCATCGTGGCAGATTCTGCCAATATTTTTTTCCCCAAGACATTACCCTCTTTCTAGATCCAACTAAATTCCCACAAGAGCAGAAGCGGTGCAGTGATAGTGAGGTTGCACAATTTGCCACACTCATTATAAACGCTGCTGAGCAGTTGTTTACCTGTAACCCCTGTACGTACACTATTCAGTTTCCAGGAGATTATTTTTCACAGAAACCCAAAAGAAACAAAAAAGAGTTGCAACTTCTGGCCTCAAGGTAACCTTTTTTTTTGTTGAACGGTTGCAGTAATTGCATTCATAATTAAAATAATTCACAACTAATACAAACATTCTGCCTGTCTTGGTTTGCTTTGGGTGGAACTGTGTCATCATCATGTGACTTACCCAGAAGTAGCCTTGAGGTAGGGATGTACTCGCTGCAGAGAAGCCCAACAGGGCACACTGAACAGGATTGTGGAGGGCCGTTTCAAGCTGAAGAGAAAAAAAAACTACATGACAAACTGCACTTTTATCATCTCGTCACTTTTAATAAAGTTGCTTGTAAAATCTTAATTACCACCTAAAAGAATTTTGTTGTCACCACCAGGCTTCTTATCTGCATCACATAAGACAAGAATCTAAAGTCAGGAATATTTTAACCAGTGATGTAGGACATTTATTTATTTATTTAAGTGTTTTTTACGTTATTTAAATGTAAAGCATTTCCTCATTGAACTCACACCTCAGTCATTTCTTCTTTAATTCTACTCCATGGAAGAAGTATTAGCATATTGGTCGAAAGTGTGACGTAGACGGGGCCAGACTTTTCTGTGAGCATATAACTCGCAGGTGTTTGTTTTTTCACCACCAACAACAACAAGAAAAAAGATCAAACAAGCAACACCAAAAACAACTTTGATGTTTCAGTTCTTTTTGGAGACAAACACTGGGTCTGAGGCCAGGTTTTAGCTTAGCTTAAACACTTTATTACAAATACTTGTTTTTCTGCACTTCAGTGAGTATCAACAGCAGCTAGCTTGCTGTTGTTTACCCACAGAAACTGGGTTTGTGTGGAACACCGAAAAACACATTCTAATTGTTATTTTGGATTATAATCTGTCGCTCTGAGTTTTTTGTGCAGGCTGAACATTGAAATAATCTTCTCCTGCATTAGCTTCTGATAGAAATGAGATGGTGAAAGGCTAGGATTTGAAAAGCCTGACAGCGTGACATCACACTGTCACTTAACATTCATGGACTCAACCATCTTAACTCATAACTAGAAAGGCTGTTGTTGGTTTAGCACCCAGGAAACAGCATAGAACGTCTCGGCTAATAGAAGCTAACTGTCAGCATTAGCAACTGCACCACATAGCTAAACACCTCCAGGCGTGTGTTATCTGTGGAGATAAAACATCCTCGTTGTAAAGCAAAATGAGACAGTGGTAGAGTAATCCAGTCTGAAGTGAGATGTCCAAAGATCAGGAAACAATCCTGTCATCTGAAGCTTTCCCCTCATCTGGCAATCTTCTAGATCTTGAAACTGGCACAATTGAGCTTTCTGTACAGAGTACAACTTAAAAGTTATTCAATCCTGCTAGAGGTATTGATGAAACTCATGAACTACATCTTTAAATGTAGCATTATTCCAATTGTAATCCACTGATGGGACGAAAACTTGCTGAATAATAGCTTCACTTTGACTTTTTTTTTATCAATAACAAGTTTTATTCAGAACCATAAACTAAATAAATATAACTTATCTACATTTTCAGACTTGCTTGGCTGAAATTTAGTGGCTGTGGTTGACATTTACATCCCCGAGCGTGTGCACAAACAGCACAAACAACCTTTAACCAAGAGTCCCTCTATGTATGATGATTACTTTGGAATATGACCGGTAAAGGTAGGCGAGGTGGCAGACAGAACAAATAAGTGTGTTGTTGGGATAATGGGGGTTTGAAGCAGGTGAGTTGGTGGAAGGGAGAAGAGAATGAGTGGGTGAGAGTGGGGAGAGTGTCAGTGATGAGAGCTCCACGTCTTTTACTGTCGTCCTCTATGGCGGCAAACATCAATCAAAGGTAATTTATAGCCTCCCCCAGCAAAGACCCTCCTCCTTTTGCCACCAGCTGAGGTTGTTTGTAAACTCCAAACAACAACAAAAAAAGATCCTGATCAAATCACCACTTTCCTCATCTGCACTGCAAACCTTCACTCTCGCCACGTCTTTCCCCATCTACTCAAATTCATTCCACAAACGCGCAACTCATCCTCTCCATCAATCTTCCACATTCCCATTCCTCTTTTCTATTGCTCACGCTTTTTTATATATGTTCCTTCTCATTTCTCTTTGCTTTTTGTCTGCCGCTCCCCCTTTAAAAGCTGTGATATGGTTTTTGATCATTTGATAATTAAGCAGCAGCCATAAACGGTGTCCATATGGGAAAGAGCTGTGGTAAAGAGAATAAAAGTGACGGCAGAGCAGAGGGACTGAAACACTAGAGTGGGCCGTGCTGGCGGTTTGCTGGTGGATGGATTTTATCAGTCACCTGGGACTGACAAGTATTGTAGGCCAATCTTCCCGAGCCTTGATAGCATTGTGTCGCGGCACATTGCTGTGTCAGTTTGACAACACCAGTGGGATGCATCTATGTTAGAGCCACCTCACCACCGTTTTCTAAGGTTTTCAATGGTTTCAAAGGCCTACATGTAAGACTGTGAAAGAAGAAAACAAATTTCAGTTTAGCTGTTTGCCCAGAAAAACTATTAATGCATGGTTACAACTTTGAGGCCATGCACACACACACACACACACACCTGGGTAATTGTAAGACCGAATAGCCTCTCCAGCCCATCTAGAATGAAAACTTGGGTCAACACCACTCCAATAGGCATGCCAAGCCTGCAGGTGGCAGTAGATTAAAAACATTTTCAACCTCTTGTTATAAAAAAATCACTTGTACGTTGAAAATCTAGTGTTTTCATATCTGACCTGGCCCGCCCTCGTGTGGCCAGGTTTTCTTTACATATGCTTCTCAGGAATGCAGATTTTTGCGAGCATGTGATCGGGGCAAAAGGTGCACTGAAAAATCCATGGTGTTTTTTTCTTGTTAGGAAACAAAGGTGGCTGTGAGCGATGTTGCTTCTGGAGACTCTGATATGAAGCGCACTGCCTCCTACTCTCTCTCACTGAGAGTGCTACCTAACAGCAGTCTGTCCTCACAGGAGTGGTAGATCCGAGCGACAGTGAGAGAAGATGTTTATCCCACCGCATGCAAAATGATAGTTCACTGCACATGCTGGAAGCCTCCGCCAACTCATTCTACCCACCAATCAGAGGCTCCCTTGATGGGTACATGTGAGCTTTAGCCGGCCAGTCAATCTGTATTGGGTATGTTGCGTTGGCTCCACACAAAGTGAATTACCAGAGAGAAGGTCCGAGAAACCAGTCAGCTGAGCATGGAAAATGTAGAGATTACCCAGATGTGAACACAATATACTCTCCCAGGGCTGGTCCGTGCCAACCCAGGTGTGAAAGCACCATTGGTGGCAGGCAATAACCATCCTTAACGTCGACCTTTATAACTAAGCTTGTAGAAACAAGTGAGTGTAAACAAAGGTTGGACATGTGATGTCAGTTTCACCGGACAATTTGCATATGGCCCCCTTGGTCAGAGGTTTTTGAAATAATCGGGTTTTGGTGCCATATATCTTCATTTTGGTGTGTATGACAAGCCAAAGTGTACAAAAATATCTTTGTTTTGTTGGTTACCCAGCTTTGTGTGAACAGGGTACAAATTTACTTCAACACACCAATTTTTAAACGAATACAACCCTTTTTTCATGAGGCATTTTATTTGTTTCAACTGATGGTTTTTAACTTTTACATGAAAACTTTCTGTGGGGAAAAAAACAAAACAAAATGAAATGCACAGGCCACCGACGGAGAGACAGACTCCGTTCCCATGAAAACACAAGCAGTGACCATGGTCAATACAATAAACTACTGTTCCACTTATTGAACTTCTTTAAACAGCCAGTGGCAGGTGCACGGGTGAGTCCAACAAAACCTCTGAGATCGTTTCCACCTGTGAATGTGCAAATTATATTGACGGGGCACAAAGGAAATGTGGGCCTAGAGCATCATCCATATCACTGACAACCCCACAGCTAATATGGCATCAGTGAGGACCCATTTAAAAATCAATGGCACCCAAGCTTTTTCTAAGCCTTTGTGGGTCTCGTTTATACAATGGGCTGTGTGCGCGTGTGTGTGCGCGCGCGTGTGTGTGTGTGCATGTGTGTGTGTGTGTGTGTGTGTGTGTGTGTGTGTGCAGAGACACTGATGATATCCTCCTGTGTGGGGGCAAATAGAGGAAGGAGAGCATGTAAGCCAGTTGAGAGAGCTTTGACGAAGGACTTTGGGGTTCGGGGGGAAGAAAGGGGGAGGAAACGGGCAGGTGAACTAATTAAAGCATGATTTGTTGATGTGATGTCAGGGTGGCCTCCCAGCTGCTGGCTACCGATGACCCAACAGCTGAGAGAGAATCTGCCCCACCCATCACCCAAGAGGTTGCCAGCCCATATGCTGTTTGGGGTAGATATCGTTAGCACAGATGCTTCAATTGTTTTCCGGGAAGATAAATTTAAAACGCGTAATTAAATTCCTGTAGGATGAGAACAGAATGGATGGAACCATTTATTGTCAAATCCTCTTGTGTACTGTGAAGACTTTTTGCCAAGTTACACACTGCTGCGGCCCTCGGCTCAGTGTGTCAGGAGCAGCAAGTAGTAATAGTTATTGGTAGTGGTCTAATATGACAGGAAAGACTTTTAATGATTCATGCTTTTGGCTGTCAGACTGTCAGAGCAGGGCTCCCTTGGTAAATATGGCTTCCCCAAATCCAATTAAGGTTGTTCCAATTCCCAAGGCTACCCAGGTGCACTGTTTTTCCTTACAGCAATTTCCCTCTGTAAGCACCGTGAAATCTCTCACTTTTTTCTTATTTTTTTTACTGATATGTGGAGAACGTACCACACATGAGATTTGTGACAATTGCTATCAAAAACGAATGTATGCGTCATATTAACCGGAGACCTTTAACGTTATCGATCAAGTGAAATGCCACACCTAATATGGCATTGTTTGCCTCCACCATGCTTATGTAATAGGTTTTATTGGAAAGGACTGCTGCACAGTCCGTTATTGCATTACGTTAAACTCCTGACCACACATTTCAAGAGAGTTCAAAAGATAGAAAAAGTACACATGCATGCTTGTAAATGATACTGCATAGCCTAGTCTGCTGAAAATCTAATAAAAATATTATTTCAGCAAATGGCATAGGTTCAGTGTGCTGTATATTCAATGTAGGAAATATGCCTGTACTTTTTTCCTATAATTCCACAGTCACAGTCCCGTCCTCCAATTCCACATACCAACAATCTTTTACACGCACTAACAAGCACTAATAGAAAACTTCCACTGTTTATTAACCGGTAATTGACTGGTGCTGGTGCTCCCTCCCAACTGCAGCCCGACTGCCTAAGGCTACAGGCAGCACGGCCACAGAGCGGACCGCCACTCAACCTGAAATCACTAATATCCAGAGCACAGGTAATTCACATCAAACAAGCAACCAATGGGGTATTTTGCTAAATTAATCCTACACTGTAAATTGCATTTATGCCTTTTTGTTGTCCCAACATTTGATTTCATGTTAATATAACAAGGCTTTTGTATTGTTGTTGTTATAAATTAGAATAATTAGTTAAACACATCTCAACAACACTAAAAATGTTAAACAATAATTTTATGTCCAGTCAAATAAATTATCCAAGTCTACTTGACTTTTGAGCATTAAAATATATGTCCACTGGGTGGCGGTAAGTGGCGCAAAGTTTGTTTCGCATGTGCCTATGATGACGGAAGAAGAAGTCAACGGAGCTCTCAGCTCAGTCAAGCAGTCTTTCACGCGTGCAATGTTCTGTCCAGAAGGACTAACGACTCCATTTAGGGTTTAAACCAACTACTTTGTCCATCTAAAGGTGACACTGAACCAGTTCAACAGAGGCCCACCACTTTGGTAAGTTTTCTTTGGGTTTATGTTTAATTTGAATTTGTTAGTTGTTAAATAGCATTAGCTTGATTAGTTATAGTGAAATGAATAAATAAAAGGTCTGAACCTGAAAGTAAATCGTGTAATTCTAAGTTTAATGTTGAATGCAACTTAGTATATCTTATATTTGAATGTTAGAAGTAGGTAACTCGCTGTTTGTTGGTTAGCATAGCAGGGTTGGCGGGGAAATTGTTTTGGGAAATGTTTACTTGGTAACACGTTAATTAACCTTTTTTCCGAAAATGTATACTCATAAAATTAAGCTAAATGCTCAAAGCCGGGTCCACATGTGCGCATCTGTGGCGCGAAACAGCAGCGGAATCTCGCAGCATCTCAGCCGTTCTCCTCGCTAAACTCCATACGTCATGTGACCCTCAGAGAGTAGACGCCATGCGTTTACTTCACACTTTAAAACCGAATAAATTGTTTTATATAGTCAGTATTCATTTAAATAATGAAACAGAAATAATTAATCAAAATATTAGGTGATACTTGCAAGTTAGTTCTGTGAAATGTTGACCTCATTAATCATGAATTATTTACCTAAGTTTTACCTATTTCAGATTCTATTTTGAAGGTGCCCATGATGAAAAGGCCTTTTACACCGTATGAAGTGGACCTGTAAACGTGGTACTTTTTTCTGTGGAAATCGTAAGTGCATCATTGAACCTTATCAAAGCAATCACAGACATTACGGCAGAACTTGCCCTTTGCCCTTCATTTACAATTACTGCTCACAGTATTTCAGATCCAAACAATCCTTGCATGTCCATCTGAGAGATCATGGACTCAATGAAAACACTAACGGACTAATAAGCTTTAAGGTAAAATGTTTGTTGTTGTAAAATTAAAATTGTACATGTGTTGCAAGTTGGCAACAAGATTTTTTTTTTTGTTCTTGAATGTTTCTCAGCCTGGTATTTGGAGCACCTTCATTGTTACGAATTCTGCAAGAAAGATCCAGATCAACTGATGGCCACTGAACCCAGTGAACTGAACCACTACCTTCCACTGTCATCCTACGCTGTCCAAGGCCGACTGGTGATTTCTCCAAAGGTGTTTCTTGTACATTGAGGTGAGTTATTGTATTTTGGCTATTTTTGTTCTTTCTCCAAATGTTTGTCACCCTAAAAGTAGTAAATGGAGCTCAACTACTTCCATGAATGGTGTCAACATTTATTCATCTCTGAGCCATTGGATGGTACTTAATGATACAAGACAGTACTAAGAGCTCATCACAAAAACATGTTTTTGTAAGCTGAACCTTGTAAAATTTTAGCAATATTGTCCACAGACAACCTTGTAATGTAGCAAGTTGGTGAAATGATGGACATCACATTCCCCCTACGAAGAAAAGAAATAGTTGAAAATCAACCTCTTGCGGCTGAAGTCAAAGAAAGGTGGCCAGCCCTGTTCAAAGAACAGCAGGTACATTTCGATTTTTCTCTTTCACACATTTGTCAACTTTTTGTCTTTTTTAAAAAGTTGTTTAAAGTTGCAAATTTTGTTGTTGTCACCTTCAATTACAGATTGAAGCAGAGTTTGCTCGGCTGACATCTGTTGACCTCAAGAAGTCTTTCTTCAGTGGACTGGATCAGCATTTGCCAAGGTTCCTGGAGCTGTTCAAGGCCAAGAGTGGGAAATCAGCTGGACTAAGCAGGCAGCTTAAATGTCTTGATGACGTAAGCAAATAAATGTTCACATATTTTTGTTAGTATTAGTAACATTTCCTTTGGAGATTATTTACAGTTTTACCGGTTTTCAGTATTTAACAGTATTTTCTATTTTCTAATACAGAGAAGAAGAAAATTATGTTAACATTTTGTTGGGTTATTGTCTTTGGGTGAATAGAATTCAGTCATGCCTTTTAGGAAATCCATCAAATTGAAATTATCTTTGAAACAATCTGCCTGTGTAAATTTAGCAAAAAAAAAAAAAGCATGTTTCTACACAAAATTACCACAACCCCAGTAGCTTTCCTATAGTGATAGGTCAGAGCTGGAAAAACTTATCAGAAAAATTCTATTCCAAAAGCTATAGTATTTAGAATAAAAAAAAATGGCTAAAGGCTGCCAAATCCCCCCTCCCAATAAAACAAAAACAGAAAAACTGTCAGTCAAAACAAATTCTGTAGCAGACTTCTATTGCAGTACAGGTTTGTAAGAAGAATTTGAAGTGAAAATGTCCAACTAATCAATTGAGTATAGAAAACAGAATAAAAGAATCAGGATATCAATAATTTGTTATTCTCTTTATAATTAGTTGTTTTGTCTTTGTTTTTTCTCAGTCCTCTATGCTGAGGCAGAGGTCAGTTGTTCTTCCGGTGCCTTCTGTATATTCTCAAGGATGATCCTTCAAATGCATTCAAGACTGTTCAGGTGAGCATTTGTATCAAAAATGATCTGTGAACAATTTCTTTATAAGTGAAAGTAGTGATGTGATATTAGATGTAGTTATATAAAGAAGTGTTTTAAAGCCATACTATGCAACTTTTTCACATTATTAAATCACTTTCTGGAGCCAGTATGTGCTAAAATGAACCTTTGCTGGGGTGATGAAATGTCACACAGACCCTAAAGCTTGGTTTATGCTTGACGCATTCACTTTCCGCACGGTGATGCGGCTCGCGGATGGAACACGCTTCACAACTCGCAGCGTTTATGGTTCGTGCGGCTCGTCTCTGCGGTGAGCCAATGTTCTCCCAAACTGTAGGGGGCAGCATGGAGCTCTACGGCATGCATCCAACACTACACCATAGTAGAAGTAGAAATCACTGTTTACAACACGGCATTTCAGCATTTTTAACAGCGTCCTCGTCTTTTCCGACAGTGCGAGCTATTTCTCTCCAAGAATTATTAACAACAAGTTGATCACGGTGATCTCTGAGAGCTGAATCATACAAATGTCTGTATTTATGAACCTCTGCCATATTGGTTCTTGCCGGTCCGCCATGTTTTTACGCGTCCAACCGTCCGCGTGGTTAGAAATTTTCCTAGGTGCGCGTTGCGGAAATTTTGGGCTGTGTGGAGATGCGGTGGAGGGGCCTGGTTGTTAAAATGACGCAACTTTTCCACGCGGAGCTGTGCGGACACGTCAAGCATAAACCAACCTTTACCGCCCTCTGTTCTGCAGCTCTCCTCAATGAGAGGGGGGATGGGGGCGTTGCACACGTTCCGCTGCTGTTTCTCACCAGTATCAGCTGATGGAGGACTCTAGCTCCGTTGTGCCGTTCGTGTCAGCGGACACGGTCGGGGAGGGGGGCGGGGCATGACGCTTAGCCTGGCGGGTGGGCAAACAAAGCCTGCTAAGCGCTGGGGGAAACCCTGAAATATGAAAAAGTTGCAAAGTATGCCTTTAAAAGGGCAAACTCACAGCGAGGAGATACGTTTCAATTCTGCTTTGACCACAGACAGACACCAGGGGGCACTAAAAACAAGCAAAACTGCCTAGTCTCCTTTTAACAAGGTTGTCTGTAGAATTATCCAAATATTGCAAGGGGTCATAGTGAGAAATTTGCTTTATAACTTGTGTAGGCCATTGACGAGGAAGCCACATTCACTCGGGGAATGCAAGTTGGAGTTCTGCTGGTGAAAGATGGAGAGGACATCATTGCCACATCAGTCATTCTTGAGGAACAAGTGGTCCTGCCTGATGTGGAGGACATTCCTCATGCCATTGCTCTACTGATGGGTCTGCTTTTTGCCTTTAATATAGACTATCCAAAGGAACTCAGGTACACATTTGAAGTTTTTCAAAAGGTCCTGATGAACATCGGCGGAGGTCAGTGTTCCTCCCTTGTGCATGGTTTGAGAAACAGACTGTTACAAAAAACCATGTAGATTCTCCTGAAATGTCTCATCTCATGACTCATGGATGTCTGAGCTTTTTGAAAGCATTCAACGTTTCCTGTTAAACATTGTTCCAAAGGTCATATAGAAGTTTGGCACATGGTTTGGAATTCTTGTTTTGTTATTTCATCTGTTTAGGTTTATTCCATCAGAAAATATAGTCATATTGGTTCAAAGCCAATCAAATGCATAGGTTGATAAAAAGTATTGCAATAAAGAGGTCAACATAAGACCAAACGATAGATGACAAGATTAAAATGTGCACTATTTGTTTAGAACTACTATTTTGAATAGTATCATTTTGAATTTTATTTTATTGTTTTTATTTGTGCAAGGTTTTGTCAGATGCTTTAAAAGTTTATGCACTTGAGTTAATGTGCAATGACTTGTCTCATTTAAGACACTAAATATGTTCTAACTATAAGACCTTGATAAGCTGCTGTGTTAATGTTTTTTTTGAGTGCAGACTGTTCTAAAACGTTTTCACTATTCATTACAAAACAAAACAGCTTCAGTAAATGTTGCAGAGCTGTAACTTCATTACTGCTAAATAAATAAAAAAACTAGCTGAGTTGATGAACATGTTTGTATTGTTTCTGTTTTTGGAGGTGAAATTTATCACTAAATGGATCATTTTGTGTGAAATGTACATAAATTAATCATATGAATGTTTTAAATTTCCAATATACAGTGCCCCCATCTTTTTTCGATATGGCAAATGTTTTAAATTATTTAGTTAAGTTGACTTAAACATTTCTTCCAAATGAATTGATACTTTAAAATTGAGTCAACATACATTTATGGATTACACGGACTGTACCAGTCAGTTCTCTCAATACCCAAACTAGTTTTGACAACGTAAAATTATTAATTGTGGTTAAAGTTAAAAAAACTAAAAGAAGTTGAATCAACTCTTGATTATAAATTAAACTAACTTAAAAACATGTTGGTATAACAAGAGAGTTTAATTTGGGATAAAATATGGTAATGTTAAGACAACAAATTTTGTTTTTTCATTTAACTCAAAATTTTAATGCAGCCCTTTCACTCGTATTTTTAAGTTGAAACAATATGTTTTATTTTACAGTGTACAGTTATAAAGATAGAAATCTACTATGGAGAATGACATTTTCATTTATGAAAGAAGAAATATACTTTTCACTAGGTTATGTGTTCTGCATCATTCATTTCTGACATTTTCTTAGCTTTACCAGCTATAGACAAGAGGCAAATTAAAGAAAAACAGTTTTGAGCACCACCATGGAGTCAAAATACCACTCACCGCTAGCCTAGAATCTGGACTGCCATTTGCAGAAGCTGCATTATACGGTCTATCAATGCTCCATTGAAACATCGCAGCCCCGGCCAGTATTGTGTCTGACCAATCACAGTGTGTTTATTTAAAAATATTATACATTATTAAAAGTTGTCTTTTTAAATGTTTTATGTAGTTCTTCCATGATGTAATGGCAAACTGTTCCTTTGCAGCAGTCTATTGGTTTGGTGAGCCAATCACAGCACTTCATCAGCCTGGTGAGCGGGATGTTACTGCAGCTGAGTCCATAGTGGCCCAAAGATCCATAGTGGTCCAATCACAGTGCTCTATTGGTTTTGGTGGACCAATCACAGCACTCTGTTGGTGGGCACGATGTTACTGAAAAAACAAAGGTGGCGACAGCTCGTTTGGAACAGTTTTGGCATCAACTTTGGACCGTTTTGACTTGGGCTTTTTTGACTCAAGAGCAGATAGAGGTACCTGAATTTATTTAGAAAAAGGATGTTTGCATCTGCTTTGACAGACTGCCTTGTTGACTGACATCTGTAGCAGTGAGTACGTCACAGTTTGTTATCCAATAGCATGTGGAGACAAATTGAAAGACAACTGTATGTCCTGACCCATGACTGAGAGCTGTCAGTGGACCATGGCCAAATTAGATATTCACATAAATAGGGAGGCTTGCCTGGCTAACTCACCGCAGCAACAAAAGCAAGAGTTAGAGTGAGTATTTCAGGTTTTTTCTTTAATTCCTCATTTGTCTGTGCATCTTCTATAACCTGAAGTACCAGATGGTTTCTAACACTATACCATCTGGGACGCCTTTGTTAGAAACAGTTTAGAAAAGGGCAAGTGACCCTAAACATTATATTTGTCAGGTGAGTGGATGAACCACCTGTCTATCATAATAAACCCCAAGTTAGCTTCAACCGCTCAGATCAGCTGCACTGAGCCTGTTGGTGAAATCTAACTCCTGCTTAAGGTGGCTGGAAGTAAGAGTGAAAACATTTGTTCTTCTGAGAAATGCCGTTGTGTTGTTTTTAATCCAGTTTTTCAATTAAAAAAACAATCTTAAATCTTGTGTCAAAGACTGTACACGACTGACATCTTCGTTGACTTGTCATACAGCACACCCATATTCCAGGAAAAGACACAACAGGGACCAACACAAGTAAACAGAATGTTTGGTGCAGGAATTCTCCGACAGTTGGGATTTTTATGTAGCTCACATTAATCCCACTGACTCCCAGTAAAGGTTAGCTTTATTCTCAGAGGTAGTTTTGTGATACATTGGTTAAAAAAGCCACTATTTTAAGATTTCTGTATCCAAACTATACCAAATAGGTTTCTGTTTTGAGAAACACTATTAAGCACTTGATGCTGGGCTCGGTCTGAAACACCTTATTTTTCCTGCCTCTGCGTTAAGGCTCCCCTCTCTCTGACCCATTCTGCTCTGATTGATCAAGTGATTTGTCAGAAATGACAGAGTTCCAGACAGCTGCTCTTTATTTGAGGTGTGCCAAACTTGCCTCTAGGCAGGCGTAATGGGAAAGGGTTTTGTGGAGATGTCTTCAGAAAAACGGGAGGAAAAGATTCAAAAAGCTGCTGCAGCGACTGCTAAACAAAATAAGAGTCAACATGGAAAAGCAGCAAACAGGTTGTAGGAAATATCTCTGTTCATTTTTAATGGTGTTTGGTAAAAAGACTAAAATCTGGATGAGTCGGTTTGATGCTATTCTAAATTACTGTTTGGTATGCATGCACTCCAAAAAAATACATTACATGAGTATAGCAAAATAACTTTGAAAGCTGACAAAACATTTGCTTGCTTTCATCTGTTATAACGCCAAATTGTTCAAAACACAGTTCATTCTATGAAACAACTGTGAAAGCCCTCCACTTCCTTTTTACAAGAGCTAAACTAAAATCAACATGGACTGTTTGTACCTAAATGTTAAAATACCCAGTGATTTTATTTTATTCATCAAGGTTGGACTCTCAGACAACTTAGTGCTAAAAGATCCCAGCCAGGGAAACAGACGGCCTTGGAGTTCTCCTCGTTTTCTGACCCATTCAAGTGAATCGTGATGAGTTCAGAGAATGATACTCCTCGTGAGGTTGTCAACACCTTTGGGTCGGGCTAAAATGCGGTGTCGACCCACCCATCCTCCTCCTTTGATAAAAAAGTAAAGAATGTAAGCTACAGTCAGGTCCATAAATATTTGGACATCGACACAATGCTAACATTTTTGGCTCTATACACCACCACAATGGATATCAAATGAAACGAACAAGATGTGCTTTAACTGCAGGTATCAGCTTTTATTTGAGGGTATTTACATCCAAATCAGGTGAACGGTGTAGGAATTACAACAGTTTGCATATGTGCCTCCCACTTGTTAAGAGACCAAAAGTAATGGGACAATTGGCTTCTCAGCTGTTCCATGGCTAGGCGTGTGTTATTCCATCATTATCCCAATGACAATGAGCAGATAAAAGGTCCAGAGTTCATTTCAAGTGTGCTATTTGCATTTGGGGTCTGTTGCTGTCAACTGTCAAGATGAGATCCAAAGAGCTGTCACTATCAGTGAAGCAAGCCATCATTAGGCTGAACAAACAAAAGAAACCTATCAGAGAGATAGCAAAAACATTAGGCGTGGCCCAAACAACAGTTTGGAACATTCTCAAAAAGAAGGAACACACCGATGAGCTCAGCAACACCAAAAGACCCGGAAGACCCCGGAAAACAACTGTGGTGGATGACCGAAGAATCCTTTCCCTGGTGAAGAAAACACCCTTCACAACAGCTGGCCAGATCAAGAACACTCTCCAGGAGGTAGGTGTATCAGTGTCAAAGTCAACAATCAAGAGAAGAGTCCACCAGTGTGAATACAGAGGCTTCACCACAAGATGTAAACCATTGGTGAGCCCCAAAAACAGGAAGGCCAGATTAGAGTTTGCCAAACAACATCTAAAAAACCCTTCACAGTTCTGGAGCAACATCCTACGGACAGATGAGACCAAGATCAACTTGTACCAGAGTGATGGGAAGAGAAGAATATGGAGACAGAAATGAACTGCTCATGATCCCGAGCATACCACCTCAGCAGTGAAGCACGGTGCTGGAAGTGTCATGGCGTGGGCATGTATGGCTGCCAGTGGAACTGGTTCTCTTGTATTTATTGATGATGTGACTGCTGGCAAAAGCAGCACGATGAATTCTGAAGTGTTTTGGGCAACATTATCTGCTCATATTCAGCCAAATGCCTCAGAATTCATTGGACGGCGCTTCACAGAGCAGATTGACAATGACCCAAAGCATACTGCAAAAGCAACCAAAGAGTTTTTGAAGGGAAAGAAGTGGACTGTTTTGTAATGGCCAAGTCAATCACCTGACCTGAATCCGATTGAGCATGCATTTCACTTGCTGAAGGCAAAACTGAAGGGAAAATGCCCCTGGAACATGCAGGAACTGAAGACTGTTGCAGTAGAGGGCTGGCAGAGCATCACCAGGGATGAAACCCAACATCTGGTGATGTCGTGTTCCAGACTTCAGGCTGTAATTGACTGCAAATGATTTGCAACCAAGTATTGAAATGTATACATTTGATTTATGGTTCTTATTCTGTCCCATTACTTTTGGTCCCTTAACAAGTGGGGGGCACATATGCAAACGTGTAATTCCTACACCGTTCACCTGATTTGGATGTAAATACACTCAAATAAAAGCTGACAGTCTGCAGTTAAAGCACATCTTGTTTGTTTCATTTGATATCCATTGTGGTGGTGTATAGAGCCAAAGATGTTAGCATTGTGTCGAAGTCCCAATATTTATGGACCTGACTGTATGTTAAACTAGAGCGACCATCACAAAGAACATTAGTGTCAGCTGTCAGCTTTGTGCAATGTAGCTGATGCCTCCTTCAAAGTGGTTTGGGCACCATTCACTTAATCTTTTATGTGAGTCCAACAGCCACGATGAAGTTCTGCTGGATAAACCAGCTAGATTAGAACTATGTTACCAACCCAGACATGGGATGGGTAGCAACACACATGAAGTTAACTCTTATTTTAATATATTTGCTGTGGTCTCTAGTAGGAATAGATGCCTTCTAAGGTCTAATGTATACTTCTCCATCAGCTCCACAATGGAGACAAGCACACACGTGGACAGAGATGTTTTGCTCTCAGACTTCTCTGTCTCCTGGGTTTTGTTGCTAAACAATTCCCCACCAGGACAACAGAGGGCGTAGCTCTCTTCCGAGGTATCCTGCCACCATTATAGTCACATATCCGGTCAACGA